ATGGAGTATTTCCAGTGTTTTGAGTTCTGGTTTCTACCAGAAAATTCCTTATTCGGTGACTTGGGAGGACAACGAGCCAGGGCTTCCCCCGGCAGCTGCCCAGGAAGCCCCCATGCCACAAACCCATGTTCTGGGAGCCCAGCATTGGGCCTCAGCCACCTCTGGTGTCCCACAGGGGGACTGCAGGTTGGGGAGCCCACCCGGCCAAGATCCTGGCCTTGGGCAGGCAGCAGTGTTGATGAGGTCCTGGGTTGCTCTCACAGGTCATCCCTGGGCACCCAGGAACTGAAGTCTACTGCAGAAGAAAGGGTGTGGGTGGGCGTGGTGGTGCCCGCCTGTAGCCCAGCTATTTAGGGAGGCTGAGGCTGGAGGATTGCTCCAGGTTAGGAGCATGAGCTAGTCTGGGCTACATAGCAAGACCCAGACTCAAAAAGGGAAAAAAGAAAAGGAAAGGAAATGCAACTGATCCAAAAAGTGCCTAGCTTTGTAAATGTGATCCTCTCTGAAGACTGCTTAGAAGGCAGGGAGCATGCACAGTAAGCATGGCTTTTCTCCAGTGCTGTGGTCCTGACAGTGGCTCCCAGCACAGGTCTGGCTCTGTGCTCTGTAAAGCGCTCCTGGTCACCAGGCACAGCGGTCCCGTGGCAGCCCTGGCAGAAATCTCCCATGAGCTGCATGCTGATCCCGGGCCACTCGGATTAGGAGCTGCTCTGCTATAAAAACCGAAGCCAGAGTCCCCGGAGTCCCTGGCTCCCCCAGCACAAGCGCCCAGGGGACAAACCCTGCTTTTCCCCTGAACAAAAGGCTGGGGCCGCCCCAGTGCGTGAGGTGGGGAGGGGTCTGTGCTGCAGAGGACAGTGGCCAGGGGACCTGGAGCCGCCAGCGCAGACAGGGTTGGGGGCCTCTGGCTTCCTTCTCTCTGACACCGGCCATTGGCACTCAGGCAACTGGAAAATCTCCCAGTGAAGAGCCCCACAGTGTGGAATAATTGCTCCCTCTATTTTGGCCAAGTCTTGTTCGCTGGCGGATTTGAGTCTTCCCAGGTTGCAAGGCCACATGAGACAGCAAGGCCATGTGTGAGGAGGACGTGGGGTGGCCCAGGATCTGTGGGGACCAGGCAGGGACCCAACGGCCAAGGGGACAGCAGCTAGGCAGGGAGGATCCAGGGTCTGTCTACGCTGGAGTCTGCGCTGCCAACATGAAATGGGACAGGGGCACTGGTCATCCTCAGAACTGCTCTGGCAAGAAAAGCTAAAGGACCTCGTAGCAGCCCACCTCCTGGTGGCCCCAGCCTGGCGCCACTATTCGTGAGGACCGGACCTGGCACAGGATGGAGAGGGGCTCAATGGTGTAAGATCTAAGAGGCAGGGAAGCACCAGCCACCATCAGCACCCTCACTCGGGACACTCAGCAGCCCCAGGCAAGGCCCATGGTGAGGAGCCAGAGCTCCCTGCATGAGCACAAGCAGGTGCATGAGTTCAGAAGTGGGGCCTCTGAGCCTGACCAGCAGCTTGAATATGACTCTCAGAAGAGGCAGACCCACAGGCTTCCTGAGGCACAGAAGCCAGGGGAGAGAACAAACCTTTGGGCCTGTTTGTTATGCAGAACAGCTGACTGATACATTGGGAGCATTCTAGGAACCAGGATGAGGAGGTAATTCCACAGATACACATCGCTGGGCAGACTGCGGGCACCAAGTCTCTCTGAGCCCTGCCTTTCCCATTCCCTGCACCCTGGAGTCAACCTGTCCCCAGGACACATTCCTCATAGTCCCAAGCACAATACAAAGCCCAGCTTCCTTGGGGCAAGTGGGGACGATGGTGAGGGTAGTTATGCTTCTGGGGAGCAGCTGAGGCAGGGACTTTGAAGTCACGTCCTTGTTGGGCTTTTTCCTCACCCTGTCCTGCTTTCCGGGACCCTCACTGGCTTCTCAGTGAGTTGCTGGTATCGAATCCCAAGGAAACCTGACCCCAGACCACCCTACACCCCACATTCAATCCAGCCTCCTTCAGAAGAGGTATCACATCCTACCAAGCTCTCCTTGAAAGTTACCAGATTTTTTTAAGGGCTCTGTAAGGAGCCCAGGCTGGCCTCAAACTCATGGCGATCCTCCTGCCTCAGCTTCCAGAATGCTGGGGTTACGGGTATGCCCCACCATGTCCAGCTACCAGGTTCTTTTAAATAATTTTTTTTTCATTCCTATAATTAATAAAGATCACTTTTAAACAAAGAAAATATAAATTTACAACTTGAAATATAATTTATCCAGTCATTTTTCAAAAATTATTTACTAGGCCTGTTCTATGTAGAAGACAATAAAAATTGTTTAGAGAACATGAAGAGGACACATCCCCAAAGGGCCCAATCTTTTCAGAAGATGCCTTTATAAAACTACCAGCTAGCCAGGCACAGTGGTGCACGCCTGTAATCCCAGCACTTGGGAGGCTGAGGCAGGAAGAGCACATGTTCAAGGCCATCCTAGGCTACATAGCGACAGCCTTTCTCAAAACAACAAAAATCAAAACAAAGTATCAGCCTCTCGTGATTGGATGTATCTGGCTTTCTGCACCCTGATCCTTTGAGGTCAACAGCAGCCAGCAATGATGGCTGTGGCCTGAGCTTTGACGCAGTTTTGTACATAGTCAATGCTCAATGGTCGCTCAATCAATAATAAATTTGTTACCAAACAGCTGACAGTAGAAATCCACCAATCATTCCTTCCTCTGTGTTTTTTCTGAAATGTGTGGAGCCAATCACACGTTAGTGAAAAATAGCCTAAACTGACAGATCAAACTGTCCCTGACAGGGGTAAGGGGACAGACAGGCGGTGGTGACAGGACTTCCCAGAAGTGACCTTCGGTCCCAGCAGCCACTCAGGGCTGAGGCGCCCCCATCCCACTGCGCCACGTGAACTGCCATGGCTCATGCTCAGTCAATATTGTGCCCCTTTGATTGTTCTTCATGGAAAACCGAACTCTGTGGCCAGCAGGAAGGCCAGGGCTGGGCCACAAGACCACGAGGCTCCCCTAGAAAGTGGGTCACGTTAAAAATATACACATAAAGCACTCGTGCAAACAACACAGCACACTGTGTTTACAAATCTGTTGGAAAAACATAAACTTCCTAAAATCCAAACCAAGGAAAGACATGGAAAGATTATGCATAAAGGAGGAATATTTTTAAAGTCCTTACAAATCACCTCCACTAGTAAGGAAAAAAATGAGCAACAAAACAAGCTATGGTTTTACATCTATTGAATTGACACATTTTTCAAAAACACTCCGATACTAGGGGAGAGACGCAAACCCATTTAACTTCTGTAACTTCATGACGGGGGAAAGCAACAGCTCCTAACCTTTAACCAGAAGTCTACACTGAGAAAGACTCAGAAAGCTGCATGAGCTTTATCTCGGAGCTGCTTGTAGTTCACTCCTTTAGGCGACAGATGGTTTCTCCTCTTGGGCTCTGCCCCACCCATCCTCGGCAACCTGTCCGACAGCCCTTCAACCTGATTGTTGATACATTCCCATCCAGCGATCAAATGTCCTGCATCTCTGCTTTATTCCCTTTATCTCCAGTTTGGTTTTTTTTCCAGTGCTGGGCATTGCACCCGGGGCCTTGAGCATGCCAGGCAAGTGCTCCACCACTGACCTCCGTCTCCAGCCCTGCCCCAACTCTTTACAAAGAAAACCTTACAGGAAAACCTAAACATAAAACATAAAGAAATCGAAAGAGCAGGGCTGTGAACTCCCCAACCCCCTCAGTCTAGATTGAGAAAGCTACTCACCCTTTGCCCACCTGGGTTCCCTCTTCTTTCTCTTTCTCCTTCCTTTACTTCCCCTAAACCACATGAAAGGAAACTGCAGACATGTGGAGTCTTCACACCTACACACCTGCCCACAGCTCCCCACAGCCATCACACACCAGGGAGTCCGCAGTCCGCGCCCCGCAACGGATCTGCCTGCTGGGCAAATTCGAAAGTCCCCAGTTGTCCTCTGCTGTTGAGGGTTGTGATTTGAGATCTACTCGAATGTCAAGTACTGCATTTGAGCCTCTGCCTTCTTTAGACCCTGTCATCTAAGAGTCTCCCCATTTTTTCTACGACTGACTAAAACTCCAGGCTTCTTACGTGCAGCGGCGCCCACTGTGGATCTGTGATTAGTTTCTCAACTTTTTAACTTGTTCTTTTACTTCTGGTATCATCTTGAAACTGAGTTAGGACCCTGTTAGGGTTAGATCTAGATGTCCCCTGAGAGTATGACTCAATCATAGCTGGAACTTTGGGATGATGCCTGGGTAATGGGTCCTCCCCCGCCACCCGGGCTGATTACTGTTAGGAGGTGGGATCTGGGGAGAAGAGGCCGGGAGGGGCGTGTCCCTGGTGGGCGTGGCTCGGGAAGGGAATGGTCCGAGGGCGTGGTCTGGAAGGGTCCCCCGCCCAACGTTCCTTCTCTCTCTGCTTCCTTGTCCGCCATGCAGTGAGCTGCTCTCCTCCACCAGGCCCCTCTGCCACGCTGTTTCTTCCTTGGAGCTGAACGACCCTGGGCAGAAATGTGAGCCAAAATAAACCTCTCCTGCCCTAAATTGTGGGTATCTAATATTTGTCCCAGCAAGGAGAAAGTGACTAAGACAGTCCCACTGCTTGATTAGATGCAGGTTATTTTTAGCAACAAAGCCTCCAGGTAATGTGCACTCCAAACTGCATCTCACAGCACCGACCTCAGCTCAGCCTCCTTTTCCCTTTTGTGAAGTTTGGTCATTTGATTAATCTGGAAGCCAGCAGATTGCTCCAACATAAAGATGCAAGTTTTCCTTTCGCTGCACATCCGCCGTCTGTAGGGTGTAAATGTCCTGTTTCCTATTAACCTTTTGACCAATGGCATTTAACATCCACTAATAATCCTCTAAGTCAGTGATTCCATTGGGAATTGCAAGATGGAGATTTCTAGTGCTCCTACTACTTATGTTAGTTGATTTTCGTCTGTGAAAAAGACCCCTCCTTTGTTTGTGGTTTGTTTTATTTTGGTTTCAAGTCCATTACTATGCGCTCATGGTTGTTTTTAATTCAATGTATTTTAACCCATTTCTGTGAAGTTCCTTCTGACACTCACAATATGACAAATTTGGGCAGAAAGAGCCCCTTCAGTGTCCTAGATGGTCCCTCTGGTGCATCCCCTCCTGTCTTTAAGTTCCTCCATGCTTTCTGACATTGCAAGATGCTTCATATGTCTTCAGTGTCCCAAATGGAGAGCCAGATACTTTTCTAAAGAGTCCTACTTCCTTTAGTGAACACTGTTGTTAAAAACCAAGACCCGAGTTCTGTAGATCATTGCTTCTGGAACAGTCATGGACAGAGCTGGGAAGTGTGTGTGTGTGTGTCCGTGCGTGTCCAACACAGTCTTTCTTCTTCTTCTCATTCCATATTTACATCTTGCTTTTTAACCATTGCTATTGAGATCTTGGTTCTCAAAATCAGTATCTATTGTGGGATATTGGTCTACTTTACAAATACACACAAGGATTTCAGACCTACTCCACCTGTACCATAACTAGAGGAAATCTATTGTATCAGTCTCCTACTGTTGCTGTAACAAAATACCACACACTGGCTGGCTTAGAAACAACAGAAATTTGTTATCTTATAATTCTTGAGACCAGAAATCCAAAGCCCGGGGACAGCTGAGCCTGGATCCCTCAAAGTCTGTAAGGCAAAATCTGTCCCCTGCCTCTCTTCTAGCTCCTGGGCATTGTCCATGACCCTTGGCATTGCTGGGCATTGGTGGATCCACGGTTCCAGTGTCTGCCAATGACTTCATGTAGCACCCTCCTTTCCGTGTGCCTGTGGCCCTGTCCGTCCCCTCATGAGGTCACCAGCCAGTGGCTGATGGCCATGCTAGTCCAGTCTGACCTTACTATAACTTGATTACATCTCCAAAGACCCTATTTCCAAATGAACTCCCTCTCACAGGTACTGGGGTGAGGCCTCACCAGATCTTTTCATGGGATGCATTCAACCCACCACATCTTAGCAAAGTTCGGGATTTCTTTGCAGCTTTTGGTCTTAGAATAGATTTCATAAAGTTATAAAGATAGGGTATTTAAAGGATACTTGAATTGATTTTATTCATTTATTTGATGTTGGGGATGGAACCAAGGGCCTCATGCATATTAACACATGCCATCTCACTGAGCTACATCCTCAGCCCTACTTGAATTAATTGTTTTCTGTGATTGTCTTTTCAATTTGCTAATCACTGAGGTCATTTTTTGGCTTATTTGCCCCTACTTTTCCATTTTTAAAACTTACTGGAATATGTAAAACACCTACATCAATCATAAATCAAAATTATATGAAAAGATACACTCAGAAAAGTCTTACCCTCTATTCCTACTCTGCAGGTAACCATTTTTATTGATTTCATTTCCTCTGATTCTTTTTTGGAGAAAATAAAAGCATGTGTGTAAGACTTTAACTGTGCACACAAAGGCAGGTTCCTATATACTCTCTTTCCTATCCTTTTTTTTTTTTTTCCTTTAAGACAGGGTCTTGCTATCTGGTCTAGGCTGGTCTTGAACTCACTGTGTAGCCCAGGCTGGCCTGGACCTCACAGGGACCCTCCTGCTTCAGCATCCCAAGTGCTAGGATCACAGGCATGCGCCACCATATCCAGCTTCATTCATTCCCATCTTGCTTCTTTCACTCAACACTGGAAATCACTCTTTCAGTTCAGACACATCTTCCTCATGCTTGGTTCTGGCGCTGCACCTCTTTGCAGCAACACACCTTTGTGTACCCAACCAGTCTCCTTGGGAGAGGGACGTGCATTGCTTTCAATAAATGGTCCTCAAAACACAATGCTTCGACAAGTAACTTGTGCATATCTTGTCTGGTACGAGGCTTCAGGGTAAATTCTTAGCTGTGGAAGTGTGGGGGTGAAGGGTAAAGGCAGCCCCCTTCTGTAAGGGATCCGATAGCTTTGTTCTCCCTCACCGGTGCTTGTCTCTCTGCTTCGGGGCTGAGACTGCGGTCAGTGGAGGCTCAGTGTGCACAGGGTGAGAGAGACAGAGGGCTCAGCGACAGGAAGGGACAGGTACTCTTGAGGGGAAGGGACCTATCTGCCCAGCTCTGTCATTTCTCTGACTCATGCCTGTGGGGAAGGTGCTCCCCTCTCCTGGTAAAAATCTGTGACTTCATGCAGAAAATGCTCAGCTAGTGACAAGTCGGAATCAATTTCCTTTTTAAGGACAAATGTCAATTTCACACCAAAGCCTGTATTTCTGGCTGCCCAAAACCCTCCTTCAAGACCCCACAGAAAAAGGAGGAAGGAGAGACCTGTTAAAGACTAAACAGAGCTTAAGAGAGAAACAGGCCTAGAGATGCTGTCTGTGATAAATAAAAGCCACTCCGAGGGCTGAGTGACATTTGAGAAATACCAGTAACTTAACCTGCAATCTTCCCCACACAGAAAAGATGAGGCATAGCTTTAAAACCAAGAAAAGCAGACGCCACTGGTCAGCCCAGAGGAGGGGCGCACGGCAGGTCAGTAACAATGGACGTGCAATTTCACTTCTTGCTGCTAAGCCAATTTTCTCCCCGGAAAATAAGGCTGCTGTAGCTAAAGGTGCACTCAACTTTTCATAGACTAGAAAGGAGAGATTTATATTGATGGCGGAAGGAAGGGAGTTTGTAAGATGTTTCTGTGTCTGTGGTTAACTGAGGGCCACTGGGAAGCCCCACCCTGCCCCAGTCTCATTCAAAGCCACGCACAGTGGTGCACGCCTGCAACTGCAGCACTCTGGAGGCTGAGGCAGGAGGATTGCCATGGGTTCCAGGCCAGCTTGTGCTACACAGTGAGTTTGCTACGATTTTCTGATGAGGGTTCCAGTGGGAGCGTGGCTTCAGCTGAAATGGAAGAAGCATTCTGGTTAGGATGCTACAAGTGGATTCGTAGAAGGAAAAGGGGGATTTCTGGAAAAGGGATTATTTTCATAATCGGGCAGATCTGCGTATCAGGTAAGTGCTTTAATGTTAATGCTGCCAGCAAGCAATTACTGTAGAACTCAAATTCGTGATTCTTTGGAAGCTGAAGAGCTTTTTTCAGGGATTCGTTTATGTAACAAACTGAGGTGTTTTTCCCCTAGGTAACTAAAGAGAAAAGCAGCCCTGCCTCTTTCTCAGAATCATCAACTCCCCCAAAGTACACTTGTTAACTCCTGCTCTAAACTAATGCACATTAAAAGACTGATGTTTTTAAAGTTACTTTTTTTCCCTTATTACATAAGTGACATATTTATTGTAGAAAAAAATTTCAAACACAGATGAGTAAAAAGGAGGAAAATTCTCTCAGAATCCAGCCAACCAGGTGCAGGGACTGGGAAATATTTTTGGTGCCCAGTTTACTCATCCTCTCTTGAAAGTACATAATGCATGCTCAAAATCCCATATGTACATGTCCACTGTAAACACAGCAAGATCATAAACCGACCTGTCTGGGAATCTGCTTCTTCATTTAAAATATCATGGACCTCTTTCTTGATTCTTTGTAATAGTACGAGATTCCCCTGGAGAGACAGAATTTAAATAGTCAGCCTCCTGCTGCTGGACATTTAGGTGACTCTGAAAATAACATTGTGCTAAACATCCCTGCAGCTTTTTGTTCTGCACACGTTTAATAGTGTGTTGGGATGTATTCCTAGAGATAGAATCTCTTCATCAAGGAGCATAAACGTGCAGGTTTAGGGTCCTGTGTCCAGGCTGCATTGCAGAAAGTTCAGATCCATACACAGCCCACCCCCAGAGGCAAATGACAGCCTCCATGCTGGGCAGCCAATGGCTGTCCACTTTCAGCACTCTTTGATGCTGTGTTTCTAATGTTTCTGAAATATCGCGCTTTTTCTTCATAACATCATTTATTTTGTGTTAATCTGAACACTGTTGTCACCTGACTCTTTAAAAGAGAAGTATCAATTGTAGCCAAAAGCTTTGAATTCCACGGAAGAAAGGCATTCTGTCAACATTAGGAGGGACAGGCAATGACCCAGAATCGGGCATTTTGTAGGCACAGCTAATGTGACCCATCCCACCAGAAACACTTGGGTTCTTCTACAATACCCCAAATCCTTGAGCAGTTAGTCCTGGCCACTCCAGAACATTCCTCCTCCAGGATGCTACAGGCAAGACGGTTGCTTCAATAGGAAATGAAAAGTCCTAACACTCTCTACTTCTTGGTATGGACAGCATTTCTCCAAAATCCAATTATTTGTAATTTTCAAGGAGCAATGTCTGAACAACTTCTACTTAATTTTCTTACCTACGTGCAACTCTTTCAAATCTGTTTTGTTTTTAAATGGACAGCTTTTTCTCTCCAGTTTAATACCTTAAACAGTTCTGCTACACAGTGCATGGTTAAGGCCATATATTCGCCATTACAACAATGAAGCTATTTTAGCACTATATGTAGGCTACCTAAACAATAATAATATTGCTTCCTAAGTGCTCTCATGAATACAGGACTAAATTAGACCTATATAGTTTATAAGTTGATTTTAAATGAATTAATTTAAATGGCAAGGGACTATTCTTCTCTTCACAGTTTGAGTTCTAATTAGGAATATGTAATGCCCATGGTCACAATAAGTGTAATTATGTGCACCCAGACAACTCCTAACCTTATTTCCTCTAAACTTCGTCCTCAACAGACTGGAAACTACCGGATTTATTCCTTTAGCACTCCTGACTTTAGGATGCTCCTATTGTCCAAAGCCCACTCACCCCAAATCCCTTACCCTATGAGTTCCAGGCTCCTCAGTTAGGCATATTTCAGAGAAACCCACACCACAGGCTTCCCCTGACTCCCCACAGTTTGAGGTAAACCCACAAACATACAGCATCTTTTTCTATGAGTTTTGGGGGAGCCACTTTTGGGAAACACATTTCCACCAAGGCTGTACACATTATCTGCATCTCATAATTGAGGCCCTGGTACCACGTGTCCCAGGCTTTCAAAGACACTACTAGGGATACATCAGCCCTCACAACACTGTGGAAATTCCACATCACTGGCCAAGCTGCAGCCTCCAGCTTCTCATACTTGGAACTGGCGCGAGACTCTTGGCCACCTATTTTTGATTCAGAAATTGTGTTCACCATAGCAATATCCAGTCTGGCAATTAAGTCCCAACGTGATGGGCCTGCTTCCCATACTCTTGGGATCCTATCCAGTGCTAAACCAGACTGAGGTTCGTTTGCATCTCCTCATCCCTCTAGCCTTTTCCCTGTTTAACCAAAAGTCCACCATAGCAACCAAGTCAAAACAGGACAAAAATAAAACACTGAATATGGTGTTCATGGGTTTTGAGATTCACCACAACAAACCACAGCTACCCCCTCAAGCCTGAAGCACCAATCCCAGAAGCCATTACCTGCCAGTCCCCAAAGAGGTTGGGTGTAGAAACATCTCTATTGACCAAAGAAGCCCAAGATATAATGCCAAGATATAGTGCCAAGGAACATTCACACCATGCTCATGGATAACCATGGAGAGGAAAGATGGATAACCATGGAGAGGAAAGATGGATAACCATGGAGAGGAAAGATGGATACCCAGAGCATGGCAACGAAAAGCTACTCTCGTTAGCTTTTCCTCACTAGGACAAATTACCCACATGCACAACTCAAAGGAGGAAGGAATTATCTTGGCTCACAGTTTCAGAGGTTTCAGTCCATGGTCTACAGGCTCCATTGCTTTGGGCCTATGGTAAGGCAGAAACATCATGATGGAAAGGCGTAGTGGAGGAAAGTTGCTAACCTCATGGCAGCCAGGAATGGGGGAGCTGGAGACAGAATACACCCTTCTAAGGCACCCTCTCAGTGACCTACTTCCTCCAACCAGGCCCCACCTCCTTATGGCCCATTCAGCTCTGAACTCATCTATGGTTCAACCCATGGCTGGGGTCGGAGCCCTCGTGACCCAGTCACTTTGAGGACCAAGCCCTCAATACATGAGTCTCTGGGGAACTTCATATTTAAACCCTAACAATGGCCTACTGCCTCTCCTGTGTTGACTTATGCACCCATTCTTTCTCAGTGCCTCCCGGATGAGTTGAGGGCCGAGATCTGAGATAAGTGACATCACCATCGCAGTCCCCAACAAGCTTGGGGACAACAGAGTGGAGCAAAGAGAGAGCAGGACAGGCTCTACTTTCATGTGGGCAGCCCCAGTCTGGAGAGGACATTCATTCCATCAGGCAATGAAGATAACAGGTGCTGCAGGGAAATTCACCTGGCAGCCACGCTGAGGGCACATGGAGAAAGAAGAATCGAGACAGGGAAAGGAAGACTGGCAGAGAAAAATGGCAGGTCTACTCCAACTCACACTGGAGGCCTGCCAAGCAAGGGGCAGCCACATGACCACCGTCCTTGCCTGTGCCAGCCACAGAGCCCAGCCCCACAGGAAAGCCCACGCTTGAGGTGTGGCTTTCTGCTGGGTGACTGCTGCCGCTGCCTGTGTGCATGAAAATGTTTATTTTCAAAACAAGTAGAAGAGTCTTTTGAGAGAGACAGAAATAAAACACTGTGCTTACAGACTTAAAAGATCGAGTTAACTAAAAACTATCAAATGACTGTTTCTAAAAGTATACAATATGTATTTGAGGGAAGAGAGAGAGAGACAGAGAGAGAGAGATCTCCAAGGCACTGCCTATACAATTTAAGAATACAAATGTCTTTTTAACATTTGCTATCTGGCGGTGTGCCATGTGACCCTGAAAATATAAAAAGTGAGCAGAAAGATGCAGTTCTTGGAGCTGGGGGTGTGGCTTAATGGTAGAGCGCTTGCCTTGCATCTGCAAGGTCCTGGGTTTGATCCCCAGCACCCGCCCCCCTCCAAAAATCAGTGTCTTACTCCATACACTGTAGTCCTGACTTGTCCTCATCTACTTCCGACCTACCTCTGCTCAGCATGAGATCTTGGGCTCCTTGGTTAACTTCCAGCTCCTGCACCTGTAAAATCAGTGCTGGACCAGATCATCTTGATGGTCCTTTTCTTTTCCAGAAATGCTCCCCTTAGGATCAGGAAAAAGATGACAAACATAAACAAGGACTCCTCAAGGCTGAAGTGGTTATATAAATAAAAACCTACTTTGTTTCCCATACTTATAACCCAAAGGAAGAAATAAGTAATTTTTAGATAAAATATCTTTCTTTTAAATAAGTATATACCATAGGGCCAAGGATGTAGCTCAGCTACCACATCTGCCTGGTGAGCAAATGGTCCTGGGTTCAATTCCAGGTACCAAAAAATATTATATATATACATATATATATATGTATATATATAGTCAATGCATTCATAAGTATCTATAGAGCACCTACTACGTGCCAGCCAGGTATAAATATTTGAACTATTTCTCAAGACTTTATTTTGTGAATGATTCTGAGCAAAATGTCAGTTAAGCAGAGATTTTAATAACAGGCTGGCTAAAAAGCACTAAATATGATAAAAAATAGAACATGGGGGATTTAGCTTTAAGGTTATATGCCTCAGAACTCAGTGACTTTCCAAGTGATTTTATAATTAGGAGGGTATTTTTAGCAAATTTTTCATTTGGAAGATTTTATCATACTCATCTTAATATATGTAACTTCAGTTTGAGGTATTCGGTTCTTTAAAAGCTGTCTCCTTTCTCTGGTGCAGCAGAGTGTGAAGGTAACAGCTTCCAGCTGGTGTCACATCAAACATAAGAGACACTGAGGCCACACAAGCCAGCAGGGCCACTTGGGGTCCATCAAGCGCTCTTCCCAAGGATGTCAGGACAGAGTGCCTGGGGCCATGATGGAGAGGGGCCTTGCAGGTGGAGGATGATACTGTAGGGAGAGTCCTGGGAGGAGACAGACTTAGAAAAGCCCAGAGCCTGGGAAGGACGGCGAGGACAGTGCCTATGATGTGCAGGCGGTGGGGACGAGCGGGTGACAGCAGGAGCGGGCGGAGCTGTGGCCAGGGATGGGGCTCCAGCACCTGAGGAGTCTGCAGTCAGACCCGCAGCTGAGAAGAGCGAGCAAAGTGGACTCAGGAGCGAGCGAGAGACCTGTAGCCAAGGAGAAGGGGTTACTGTAAGGGACCCTGGGGCCCAGAGAGCTCCCTGAGCCATTCGAAGTGGAGTGAGGGTAGGATGGGATGTGAGGCTGGTTCTCAGGTTCCCCCTGCCCTGGCCTCCTGGCTGCCCGCTGCTTGTCCCTCAGCCTCACTGAGAGCCTGGAGTGGCCTGGGTGTGACCTCGGGGGGCCCAGCACAGACAGCGCCCCAGCAAGCAGAGGGGGACATTGCCACCCAGGGGTCCCTGACTCAGCCTCACTTCTCCGGGGGATCCAGAAGGCGGAGCATCTTGTCACATCCCATGGAATTTCACCTTTTCCTCACCTGCCACCTCTCTTCTTCCTGTTTCTCCTTGGGAAGCGAGCATCTAAAGGTACCTCTCCCACCGCTGCGACTCAGAGTGGAACTGGGTCATTCCGGAGGTTCACAGTGGTACAGCGACGTTGCCTCAGGAGAGTGCAACCTTGAGTCTCAGCCATACTTGTTTTAGGTAACATTTAGATGAGATTCGGATGTTAGAGTTGATGCTGAACAGGTGGAGACTTTGTGGGGGGTGAACATAATTTTGCAGGTGGGAAGAACATTGTGAGCTGAATATTTATGCTCCCCCAATCCACATGTTGAAATCCTAACCCCTAATGTGACAGTAAGAAGTGGGGCCTTTGTCAGGTTTTAGGTCATGAGGGTGGAGCCCTCGTGAACCAGATTAGTGCCCTTCCAAGGAGACCCTTGTGGGGATCAATGAGAAGTCTGTTGCCCAAAGAGGCCTCACCTGAACCAGGCCTTAACCTCAGCTTCCGGCCTCCAGAGCTGTGTGGAGCAAATCCTGTCCTCCGTAAGCCACCTGGCGGTGAGGGGGTTGGCCCGGCCTGCCCAGATGTGGAAAGCACTTCGAACAGATGGGAGGGAGAGGACAAGGGAGGGCAACTGAGTCCAGGGAGTTGGGGCAGCAGGTGCTGGCTCAGAAAGAGCAACAAGGATGGGTGTCTCTCAAACATCCTTGGGCTTTGGGCCCAAGAAAGTGGCCCCTGGGGGCCAACAAGGGCCAGAGGGCAGCTTTCCCGCCGAAAGCAGCAGAGCCGGGAAGACTAAAGGAGGATGGGATGCTCGGAGACCCTCCCATGCCTGTGAAGGGCAGTTCCCTTGTCAAATGGTCCCCTCTATTTAAACTTCCTCCTCTGCCCTCACCGCACTGCCTTTTCTCACACTGGTGAACAGATTAAAGCCAACCAATTAACAGTAACTGAACCCCCACCTCCACCACCAGCAGCATCTGCCTGTAATCTCAGCACTCGGGGAAGCTGAGGCAGGAGGATTTAAAGTCCAACTCCAACCTGGACAATTTAGAGACTTAGTGAGATCTGTCTCAAATTTTTTTTTTAAAAAAATCAAAAACAAGAGGGCTGGAGATGTATGTAGCTCAGTGCAAAGGCTCTGGGTTCGAGGGGGGGGGCAACAACCAAGACATTCGTTCACTTAAAGCTCTGCGGGTGGGTGGGGTGTGGGGCACAGAGGTGGACTCCACACTTTCGCTCACACCCAGACCGTACATGCAGGAGCTGACCCTCGGCCGCGTTCTGCGTCACCAAGGGGCCCCCCGCTGGGAAGGGATCTTGGGCAGGAGGGCGGCTGGCCTCGCTCCACCCCAGTCGCCTACTTCTGCTATCTTTCTGCATCCCTGAGCGACTGCAAAAGCTAACACAAAGTTGCCAGTTCCAAAACCACAATGTGATCAGGCGGCTACGGCGGGCTGAAGAGCCCGGTTACTTTGTCTCTCCTCCTCTTGCTCGCACAAACCCACGCCAGGCCGCCAGGGTCTCCCGAGTTGTGGAGAGGCCGCCCAGGAGCGGCCTCTGCACGGGCCCCTCCCCACTTTAGGCGTCCGGAGCCGGACCCGGGTGCGGGAGCCTCTGAGACCCCAGCCTCTACCTGGAGCCGGGATCGCAGGGACGCCTCCTGCGGGGACGCGGTCCTCAGGCTGGGTCAGCCCGCGGGAGGCTGCAGGGGGTGCCCGGCGCAGAGGGTCGCGACCCGGGCCACCACCATCGCCGAGAGGAGGCCCGCACGGCGGGGGCGCAGCGGTGGCCTCGATCAGTCCTCGCGCTCCCGCGCCCCGAGCGGCCGCGGCGGAAAGGAGGAGTCGCGCGTGGTCCTGGCCGCACTGCGCCCCGCGCTGCCCGGTCCGGCGGCTGAGACTCTCTGCTCTCCGCC